GGAATGCAGTGTTCCTCTATGAAAGAGCTGAGTTAAGCTTAGAAAATCCTTCCAAAGCCATGTACATCAGATGATTTCCATATAAAATATGCATCTTAAAATGCTCTTATTTTAATAAGCTCCTGATAAAAGAGGGAAATAGCAAAGATATGTAAATACAAAGAAGTTGTTGGCTTTGACTTTGCATTGCAAGCATGCATATTCCAGCAGTATAAACAAGGAAACATCTGAGACAGAAATATTTAACCCATTTATTCTATCTCCTAGCACACTCCTTTTCAATGACAAATACTTCTCTTTCACCACTTGCATCAAACTTACCCCCACTTCTTTGTGTTCCATCTGTGACACTTACCCATATTTGTTTTCAAGTGTAAACACTTTTTTCACTAGACACAGTATGGAACTTTCAAAACTCCCTTAGGACTTACTATAATAAGTCTGAAGATACATTACAGAATCTAAAATATGGAAGTTTGAACTTGCAAAACAAGAAAAATTCAACACAGTACAGCTACAGGCTTTCTTCCAATATCGAAGTCTCTGCATTTTTATCCAGAGTTGTTATAAACAGAGTGAACTAAGGAAAGATAATAATATTACATCTGTCTATCAGTTTGGGGAAAGGGACCGACCATCGAGTGTTGGATCACTGAGGGCACTTATGGTCCTTGACTGATCAGGCACGTTCCACCACGAGCGCAGCATAATAGAAGTTTAAGTTATAGAGCAGTATGCAATGCAATTTTTTTTTTATTTGGCGAGATAATTTTGAGATAAGACTTGTCTTTAACCCTATACAAAAATATTTAATGATTTCTGGCTTCTTGATTTATTGCCTGGGGAGCAGGCAACAAAGGATAGAGCAGTATGGAAACACTGTTCCATTTATATATGATTAACCTTGTCCCATGCAGTGAAACTGTGCTGTTCCAATGCCCCAAGACTGTTCTTCCAGTAAGGAGCAAAGTATCTTAGTTAGACTTAATACGTATCACTACACACAGAAATTCCATGCAGTTAATTTCCGGCTGACATTTCCAAGACAATTTTCTGTACAGTTTATAGCAACTACCATTCACATATCCTCAAATCACTGAGGCACTTAAGACACTCTGATTACTTTATACAATATTATTAGAAAATAACAGTGAAACAAAGCTGGGTTATCTAAGATAAATATTCATAAAGAACACTTTTATTAAAAGTCTTCTGCGTACAAGCAGCTACTCAAAAGGCAAACCAATGAATAGTCAAAATAATTTGTAAAGACTGATTTGCTTCATGAAGAAAAAAAATATGCAAAATGACCCTTAAACTTGCTGGAAGCCATTATTCACTTTTTCTTCCCTGTTTTCAATCTATGACATGATTGCAGCTGGCACAACATCTCCTGCCTTTGTTAAATCAGCTGAAATTTTCAGTTTGATTCCAGTGCATCCAAAGTTACCTCAGTTTTCAGACTACTTCTCCATGCTGGTGTGTGCATTACAAAGTTGAGGCTAAGTTCCCTAAGTGAATGCACCTTCTTCCTGTGCATGTAACTGTGTGTCAAGAATTTAACACAAGTTGTTGACACAGGTCAACGATTTATTTTTGATGCAGCTATCAATCTTGTCTCACAGTTTTCAGGCACTTGAATCTCGAACTGATCATCTGTTACAACTTCACTATTACCACTATTAGCCTGGAATGGAAGGTGAGCAGCAAAGCTGGTGGCCTACAGGGTGACTCTACAGAAGAGAATGCCAGCCAGCTGTTAAGAACACATTATATCTTACTGCCAATCAATTTCAACACCCAGACATGTAAACCTGATGGGCCTTTTAAACCACAGATGGTTGTCCTAGCTCATCTCTTCATGCATGATTTCTTCAATGAGACTTGAAAAATAGAAAAAGTTTAAATTAAATCCATCTAGCTTTACTTGCTGCAACCTAAGTATAAAGAAGCACAAAAACAGAATGAATGAAGCATCTTGCAACAGGCAGAAAGCTTATATCCTGTCCTGGACCAATCCCAAAAGCCACTCTCAAACCAAATTAGTACAGTAGTATCTGGTCATTTTGGCTGGGAAGCCAAAAAGGAGCCACAGACACAGAACCATTTATTTTTTGACAGTGGCTATTGAAACTGGTGTTCACTGAAAGGTCACTCAAGCTTAGGTGAGGCCTTTGGTTTGCTTACTTAGTATCTCCTAGTACTAGTTCCTAGTATTTAATCTGGAGTTACCTCTTAGGAGTTAGCCTTACTGCCTACATAATGTTTTACTTTGGCTTGCCTTTATTTTCCACAGTCCATTTTTACCTAGACTCTTAACTCACATATGGCATATTATCAATATATGCATTTGATTAATAATCAAATACTTGTAATATTATCAAACCATACTAATTTTTACTTCAGCATTGCCATTTATTTCCTGTTTCGCACATTTAAAATAAGGGCTTTTTAAATCTTAATTGCCACAGTGAAAAGATACTTACTCACATGCCACCTTTATAATATCTGCTCATATGAAGCACGATGTACCTCTGTCAGATTTGTCTTACTTTAATATGAACTTATCATAGGGACACACTGTGCCTTTCCATGGTATATAGTCTTATTTTTCACAGCTATGTGCTCTTTCAGCACATTTCTTCATGCAGAATAATTCTTTATAAGTATGAGCAACAATTTAGTACAATCATGATCTACCACAATGTTATTTATCACTGCTTTTTAATGATTCAAACACAGAATGGTTGCCTCAAAAAGTACAGTTTAGAAAGGCTTTTCACTTTTTTCAGTTGCTAGCTTTGTAACAACCATATATTCAGATTTTATTCATCACTCATCTTTATTTCTTCATTTGAACTTAGAAAGCAAAACAAATAAAGATACAATAAATACATTGTGTGCTATCAAATAGATAACAAACATCTGTGTGCTTCAGATGGTATTTTCAACTTGCCTGCCAAGTAACAAAGGATATGAATGCACTCTGTGAACTAGATGTCATCAAGAAACACTACTTCAATATGCCAGCTTTCAGAAGATGCTCAGCACATTTCATGACATTTCCTCAAGACTCAATGTCCGCCATAGTTGAAAATGTTATTGATTTCAGCAACACAAAATTTAGTGCTGGTAAAAATGTGCCAGGACTCTCCATACACTATAAAGGACAGCCATGGAAGACTCTTAAAATGCACTGGCAGCTCCTGAGGCCCAAGAATGCAGCAAGAGACTAAGCCTCTTGAATTTTCCAGCCAGAGACCAGAGGTGCAGAAAACTCTCAACCAATCAAAAAAGGCTGGAAGAGTTTGGCTTGCTATAACATAGAAGACAATTTGGAATAAAACCAGTAACAGCCTTCAAGTACACAAAAGTGCAAAGGAAAAGGTATCGAACTGCTTTCCTTACGTACTGTGGATAAGACAAAAACCAACAAGATGAGATTTTTTCCAAAACAGTGTTTATATCAGATCAGACATTCTTAGATCTTTCTGAAAGTTCAACAATTGGAGCACTGCAACTGCCTGAAGAAGTGGTAAAATCTCCATCAATAGAGATTTCTTAAGAAGAGCATATACAAACAGTTGTCAGGAACAATGCAGCTTTAACTGAGCTCTCTGGTGCAAGAGAATGGCCCAGCCAAGGGGACTCACAAACTTTGCAGTATATAGTTGATTTGAGAAAGGAAACCAGAGAGGCTAAACATTGTAAGAAACAGGGACATCAAAGGAAATGTGCACTTACCAATACAATCCCCATTTTCATCCTGCTTATATCCCATGTTGCACTCACATCGGTAACTGGAAAGGGTTGGTATACAACGTCCATTTAAACAAAGGTTGGGATGGTGCTTACAGATGTCTATAGTCTGATTGAGTATTGCTAATAAAGAAAACAGAACATGAGACAAGTATCCATGTCTTCAAATAGAAGTAAATATGAAGATTATACTTGCTTTAAGAAAGTGCATTATCAGGTGCATAGATATGTCCACCAAATCCAGTATTTTTTAAAAGTGTTATCTGTTCACACAGCAGTAAAGTAACAAAAACAAAAACCACATTAGACAAATTGTCATAATTACGATTTACCATTTAAGTGTATAGCCTTATGTTGTCAGTGGCTTCATGAATAAACCACAATTTAGGTGAAAGCTGAAGTAGTCTGTTCCTTTCTGTTTACTATTTGCAGTGTACCTGTCTTAAATAAAACTATTTGCATTTTATTAATTTTATGGTTCTGATCATAGAGATGTGCTTACACATGTTATGAGCAACTTCACATATGTGAGACTTCCCTCTGAATATCATTAATCTTGGGCTTTCAGTCAAGGCAGTGTTACCACAGAACAGGTCAGTTTTACATTTGGAAGAACATGGAAAGAGAACAGTATATTTTAAACTCTATCGGTTTTTTGGAACACTTAGAAATTTGGGAGTTTTATTAGTACTGACCAAGACAGCTCAGGAGGGACAGCACAGGCTCAAGGACTCTGTAACCAAGTGAAGCAAAAAACCTCTACTCCTGCACTCTTCCCAAGAAAAGGGCTCCTGAACTTCCTAATGTTACCAACAGAGGTCTCTTAAATGTCCTTGAATACAAAGGCATTTTTACATGTTAAGAACGCCATTTCATGTTTCCAGATTAAAAACTAAGCAGGAAAAAAAATAAAAATAAAAAAAAAATAGACGGAGTAAGAAAAAGAGAGAAACAAGATACAAGAATGTAAGTACTTACTTAGCCCTGTAATTATTGGGCCATTTCCAGTTGGACTTTGACCACCTGTCCCTACCCCTGCTCCAACTACACCTGGGGAGAAACCATTGCTTCCAGGGATGGGAATGAATCCTGCCCCTCCTGGGCCATAGCTGTTGCCATTGCCACCAGGAAGGAAACCGTTTCCTCCTGTCCCACCACCTCTGGAATCACCGCCAGCAGGAGGACCAACCACACAAAGTCTGCGGTGTTCATCTATCAAAAAGAAACACACAGAGAGGCATAAAGTAAATCATCCCTTCAGAGCCAGCTTACAAGGAAGCTATAACACCTTTATATGCTACAAAAAACAGAACACCAACGCCTTGTTTCTTTGATGTTACGTGTTCCCTCCCCCATTCCTAATCTCAAGCAGATCCCATGATTGTGACAGGCGGTGTTTAAGAAAGGACACTAAAAATAATAAAAGGAAATATTGTAATTTAAAACTGTTTGTTGAAAACTTTTTGTTGATATGCTGCCAGCAGCACTGTAGCTCCTTGGTCACTCAGTGATCTTGATATAGATAAACTGAAAATACATTTCACCAGGGATATGGACAATTGTTCTGTGAGCAGAGTTGAAAGCACAAATGAAAGACTGACAAGTTTTTAGTAGAAAGTAATCCAAAATTTAACGGAAGAAGAAAGTAGCTGTTCCTTTAAATCAAAATGAACAGTGGACCCTCAAAGTCATATCCTCTTTGAGATTGACCACAAAATCTTTCCCATTTGCAAAGAACTATTTCCAAAGTCAACAAAAGCATGTTAAAGAAACTAGGCCCAAACAATCACAGTCCAGAAGAAAGAAACATGGTTCACAGATGGTAACATAAATATTAAAAACATGAATGAATAAGAATTTAATTCCTTTCTTTTTCCATTTAGCCTACATTTTAAAACAGCTTAAAACATTCTAGTGACCTCCATCCCAACTAGAATGGACAGCAAGAGGGAGAAAACATGCCAACCCAGCAACAAACCACTCACCAGATCCTCTGACAGGACACATCTCTGGAACAGACCTGATGGCCCAGCATCGGCCAGACTCACAGCAGCACTGTCTTTTGGTGAACCTACCGGGGAGCTCCTGTGCACAGCGGCCGTTCACTACGCTGGAGAAACATGTACTTGCCCTCTGATCTGGAATCACAGAATGGTAGGGCTTGGAAGAGACTTCTAGACTAGGTCACCTAGCCCAAGCCCCCTGCTAAAGCCAGTTCACCTGGAACAGGTGGCACAGGACACATCCAGGGGAGTTTTGAGTATCTCCAGAGACAGAGATTCTACAGCCTCTCTGGGCAGCCTGTTCCAGTTCTCTATCACCCTCAAAGTAAAGAAGCATTTCCTCATGTTCAGATGGAACTTCCTATGTTCTAGTTTGTGCCCATTCCCATTTGTCCTGCCACTGGGCACCACGGAAAAGTCTGGCCCCACCCTCTTGACACATGCCTTTCAGATACTGATAAGCATTGATAAGATCCCATCCCAATCTTCTCTTCTCCTGGATTCAAAGACCCAGGTTTCTCAGCCTTTCCTCCAAGAGAGATGTTCCAGTCATCTTTGTTCCCTCATCATCTTTGTAGCCCTTCACTGGACTCTCTCCAGTACCTCCCCTGTCTCTCTTGAACTGGGGAGCCCACAGCTGGACACTGTACTCCAGATGTGGCCTCACCAGGGAAGAGTAGAGAGCAAGGAGAACCTCCCTTGACCTGGTGGTCACACTCTTCTTAATGCACCCCAGGGTGCCATTTGCCTTCTTGGCCACAATGGCACATTGCTGGCTCGTGATTAGCTGGTAATCTGGAAGTTAATTTAAAAAGAAAACCAAAAATAGTAACACGGACTCTCAAACTAAAATTTTTAAAATGTTGTATTAAAAAACCCAGAAACAACCAAACCACAAAACCAAACTCAAAGATACACCAAAACACACCAAATAATTATCTAGAGTGTTCAGCACCAATGTATTCCACATTTTGGCTCTACTGCAGGATCACATATTTGTAGTGGCACTAGCCTTGCATTAATAGAACACGCAAACTTAAAGTCTGCTCAAGCTAAGAGGAAATATGGAAGATACAAAAGATGTAAGCCAATACAAATGTAGCCTACAACAGTAAAAATCAAGACATGTAACAACAGCGATGTCAGCAAATCTTTTTAATTAATTTTTCCTTGGTGTAGATACATCTGACTGAGAAAATGATACCCAGTCTTCTCTGCCCAGTAGACTGAATGTACAACAGTATTCTTAGTAGTGCCATGTGAAAACCACCCTATGTAAATATGTCAGTGTTTATTATGTTCTAGATCCTTCAAGGATACATTCTGGATCTTTTATTGTCACACTCCTGAATGCTAACAAAGAAAAAAGTTCAATGAATTTGGAAAGACATCATATTAATTACAATAACTGAATACATCCTGATATTTTTGTTAAAAGGAAACACTTAGCTTAAACTGGGAAGAATAATATAATTTGTATTAATAAGGATTATACTTTTCATTTTTCTCTTAAGTAAAAGAGAAGTTATACTTCTAGAGTATACAATTTACACTCAAATACTACAATCATTTGAGAGCACAAGAACTTTCAGACATATTTTCATATAAGGGAAGGAAAGTGTATGGCAAAAAGGCCTGCCTTAGCAGACTAGGGCATGTGATTCATGTGAACTGAGAGAGATGACTTTAGAAATTTGGTTGCAAACCATGCCAAAACCCGCAGAAATGTTGATCTTATTGGAAATCACAGGTTCTCAGTATTCCTGAGGCCAGCTACAATGTATTTAAAGATTGGCATTCCTCAGACTGCGCTAGAAAACAAAAGCTGACTACATTGTGAAAAAAATTACACATGTGAAATCACTTGTAGGTCTTGTGTTGCTACTGGCTTACATCACTTATCTGTAATTCAGAAATCCCTTCAGAATTCCCATCCCTTTCCCAACATGAGAACAAAGTGCTTTGAGATGTCTGAAATACAAATAATATAGGATGTAGAAAAGATACTACTATTAGCAATTTTTAATGTTTTTACACTTGGTATGCAATGTTTTTAGTTAATTCCTTGGAATGATTTATACTATTTTTTTGACACGTGCAGCTGTATAAAAGAAATTACCACGTGTGAAAATAAGCATACGTCTTTTCTATAACATAGAAAGAGGTTTTAATAAATTTTTCTACTGAAATCTAATATTTGGTTTGGTTTGTTACCCATTCCAGCCAAATTAGTGGTACCTCAGCACACCTAAGCATATCTTAATGCCTTCTGACTTTATGTATGTACCCTATACTAGTCTTTAAAGGATAAATGAACCTACATGAGATGCAACGAGAAACAGCAAGTAAGGATGAAAGTTTGCTTCTTTAGAACTACAGTGAACTTATAATTTGGTTTCATGAGATGCAGGATAGAGAAACAAATATAACTGACATTTCCTATGTTTGCCCAGACAACAAAGAGATAGTTATGACTTTTTGCCTAAGGAGATCCAAATCTCAGGCAGAAGTTTTCAGGCTACAATATAGTCAACAGTGGGATCTACTGTTTACATAAAAAGAGAGCCTACAGGGTATAGAATACCTACCAATACAGCGGGAGCCATCTGCAGATGTGACATAACCCCGTGGGCAGATGCAGAAGTAACTTCCCACAGTGTTAGAGCATTCACCCCCTTCACAGATTCCTGGGATGATGCTGCATTCATCAACATCTATCCAAAAAGGAAACAACATAGGATAATTAGCAGACCACTTGAACGTATTAAAAAGAGGGAAAGACAGCTTTTCTGAAATGAAGCTGTTATTCAGCTCAGATTGAATAACCTAATCCTGGTGTTTGCATACTGCAAATAATTTCATTTTCCACCTAAGGCAGGCTTCCTTACACGTTCAAAAGGTGCACCACTTCAAGTTGCAGAGGACAGGAAAGCAGTCTGGCATTCCCTGTAAATGACACATACCAAGTGCCATCTCTAGGAAGCACAGGACAGCTACAAAGCAATACCAAAACACATATCGTGCTTTTGAGCTAAAGGAAGGAGGATGGTACAGCAGCCAAGTAAGACAGCTCTGGGCTTCTGTGACCAGATAAATATTGTTCATCAGATCTGGCTGATTTCTGACCTTCTAATACTCCAACTAGAAGCAAGAATTTTGGCCTAGCTCTTCAAATGCAACAACATGTTCCATTTTTCCTTTTTTTTCAGATGTTCTTAATCCATTCAGATGTTTCACTAACTAAAAGCAATGGACTCATCTGAATACTAAAACAATTCGATATGTAAATATGAAGCGAGATTTCATCAACTGATGAACGAGCCGCTGTATGTAACAAAGGGCTGCAAGGGCACTCGGCACCAGGACTGAGAGTGCTCTGTACTGTCCCAGCAGAAACTGGAAGCAGAATGAGGAGCTGAGGCAATAAGAGACAGGAGGAGAAGATGTGAAGTGCAGCAGAGCAAACTGAAGAAGAAATACACGTGGGAAGAACAGCACAGGAGTAAAGACTACACCATGACCTTTTATACAAAGCCATTTTAAGTAACCACTTCATTTTACAACTGTCACAATCTTTGAACATATGAATATTTTCAGGGTCTTTTTAATAACCTAATCATGCTTTTGAGTGAACTCTGTACATTAATGCTTTCAGTGAAAGTGAACTGTGGTCCAGGTTTAACATGTGAGGCATTCTGAAAGAATATGGGAAAACATGGGCCAACTTTCTAACTAGCTTGAGATGTGCTATGCATTCCAGTCAAAATTATATGATGCCACAGCTTTTGCATGGCCGGGTACCAAAGGCAGTCATAGCTACAAGACGTTGTCTTGATTTGTTTGTAAAAAAGTATTTTTTCTTGTAAAAGTATTAATTTAAACTAGCTTTCATATTATGGAGCAAAAATCAAAACAAAAAAGTCAGACTGTTGAACCCAGACTGGATCACATCAAATACTGCAGAAGAAGCATCAGAAAGAGTATATGACAGAAATTTTCTTGTGACGACACTGTGAAGGTCTTCACAGTCCTTGTCAGAAAATCTTGGGATGCCTCAGACAGTTTCTTTCACATTTACAGAGATCTAACATTTCCCTGGACCTATCACACTAGAAATTCTCTCAAGATGAATGACTACTTGAGAAATGAACTTTAGCAGGTGTTATTTCTTAGCAACCCTTTATGGGATCTATACTTTAGTCCCTCACTTGCTACATTCTCCAGGCTGAAAACTCAAAGAAAAGGAAGAGTGGCAGAAAGACCTGGCATCCACAGGGAACTATTAAAAAAGTAACTCCCCACTGTTTTCACACATAAAGACTCCCTTTAGATATGAATCTACAGAGGACAATAACATACTGAAAGGAAAATTAAGTTTTGACACAAGGCCACTAAGAATGTGAAAACTGTTCTTCATGAGGTTAGGGTATGAATAAAATATTCCCTCTCCCACTGACATGTCATTTGCAGTGTCACGGCAGAAAAGGCAATTTATCTCACAGGTAACAGGTCTAAACTTCTGGTTTAAACTAGTTAGGACTAGTTCATACACAAAAGCATCCTGTGGCCTTTGTGGTTTGTTTTACACTATGAAGCAGAATCAGAGGAAGTGAAATTTTTGTCTTTCTAATAAGGTTATTTAAGCATTTCACAGGATGCAAAAAGTTTAAAGCTTTTACATTAAAATAGTTATGAAATTACAACAGCCGTTCCTCAAATTTTAGACATCTGCTCAATTATGTACAAAAGAAAGTTCTGTTTTTGCTAAATCAAAACAATTCTGGAAAACAGTGCTTTCACTTCGGACTTGTGAAAAGCAAGACTTCTACCCACTGCAGAGATTCCAGAATTCCAACTTATGGTATAAATCAAAACCAAATAATTCTCCAGGAAATCTCCAAAATCTTGCATGAATTTACTATATTAAAGACAATATATATAATGTGGTGAACTGCTTACCATCTGATTTAATCCAATGAAATGAAACCATATGTGTAAACCAAAATGGAACCGGAACTGGCTGCATGCCTTGTTGTGATCTGTCATGCAGTACAGGTCCTGCACAATCCTTAAAAGTCTTTTGAACATGAATACTGTCTCCTGTACACACCCACATTCTGAAACACCACGTCAGAAAGACAGGCAAGAAAACTGGACGAAATAAGGACTCTGTGGAAAAAGCTTACTTTTTATGGAAAGTGATACCTTCCTGATGGCATTCACTGGATACTCATTCAAGAAAACTCCCTTATTTTACCATCCCTTGCAGCACACCTTTGGCCTCAAGGAAATAATACACTATGCTTTTTAATTAGTACTGTAGTGGTTGCGAAAATAAATTCCAGCTAAGTCTAAAGTTCAAGAGACACTGATGATAAAGGTATCGGCAGCAAGGTGATCACAATTTACCAGCATGAAAATACTGTCTGAAGATGCAAATACTGTACACACACATAGGATGGCACAGAGCTGGTTGCAACTGACACCAGTGATATGTGACCAAGTTAAATTTAGGAATCTCTGAGCTTGGAACTAGTTACACAGCATTTTCAAAATATTTGTTTCATTCAGCCACTCTCATAAGGAGTGAGTCTTAAGTCTTGTAGGTTTCATAGCTTTTTTTTTTTTTTTTTTTGGATAACTGAGGTACAACCACAGCTCCTATATGTAAGAAAAAAAATACAAGAAAAATTAATCTATAAAAATCTAACTACCAAAACCAGCAGGGACTTGAAAACTCAAAGTTTCCGCTTCATTTCACTGTTTGGCACAGGTAACCTGCTACTTTGAAGGCAGTAATCTTCATCACAACACAACACTTGAGCTTCTACCAAAGAAAACCAAATTCTAAACTAGTTGGGTCATACAGTACAAAGCTCATTGAGGTAGTGAGAAAGTAGTTTGTCTGGCAAGTGAAAGACATAGGAAGGAAACAGTCAGGCACTTTTGCAGGATGTAGAACACCCTTCTCACCTGGCTACATACACAGGAGTTTAACACTGTCTAGGGCTCTTTTCCAACAATGGCAGGGAGCTAGAAAAGGAGGAAGTATTCCTGAAATCTGGGCAGAGATCAGAGTAGAAGGAAATCTCCACTGTCCTCTCCACACAGAGGGGAAAAAAAACCAAACCAAAACAAAACCCACACAAGGAGAATCCTTGTAGAAGAATAATTTTCTCAGTTACTGGATCAGTAGCCAATCAGCAGATTTTTTGTTTCACTAGTTTCTGAGCTAAATCCCTGTCTCTCCTTCGACCTCCTTAGTTTTTGCATGCGCAAGTCTTTCAACAAGATGTCTGTTACCTCTGACTGGAAATTGTTACCTCAGGTAATTTTTAGGATGGCTGACTGAAAATGCTACTCAGTTTCCTCCCTGCCCCCTCCCAAACACATAAATCAATGCTCTCAGGGAAAACGCTCTGAAGATAGTAAGAGCAGATGCTGTCTTAAGGGTGAAGAACACTGGTGGTGTGAAAGGCTGCTGTTCCAAGCTGTTCCAATGTTACACAGAAGATGAGAAAGCCAGTCTTAATGTGAGAACCAACTTAAATCTGTGGCATAAACTTTGCTGGTGTGAGTATTAATAGGTGAACTCCTCACAGGAAAACTCAGCCTGGCTACCTGTTGTCCAGAATTCATGACTTTTACTGCAGGATTTTATGAGCAACTGAATTAAAAGTATTAGAAAAGGGGCTCTCAACTGCAGAGTTCTGAAACATAGGTCCTTGAAAATAGCTATAGTCTATAGTAATACCTGGTAGTATCAAATCTGAATAACACAGTGTAATGATATTACACATTAGAGGAGGAAAAACAGAAATAGAACTGTGTCTATTAAAAGATTCTTTGCATTTTGGTACCACTTTTTTTTTTTTTTTTTTTT